CTTTTCAATGTGTATCTTGGACTTTTTCTGAGAAATTTAATTACCTTAATTACCCCTGGATGAATTGTTTTATTAAATGCTTAAGATTTTTATTAAATTAACAGAATAACTATAATTTATTTACAAGAAGTATCCACTAATTAAACTATTAGTATAAATCCTAAACAAATATTTATTACAAAATTACTCTATATATGGTTCATTAGTCAAAATATACCAATGCAAGTTATATAACTAACTGTATTCGTTTGTCTTAAAAACCTAAATATCATTTGTATTAAACAGTCTGTATCATTAATAAAAATATAAAGGAAGTGTTTAATAATAGTCACTCAGTCAGTAAAGTATCAAGTTCGACGTCTTTTAGTCCCTCCAGGTGTTGTATTGATAGGACTGGCCTTTCCACTACTACCAGAATCATCAGGTTTAAGGCTTCCCCTAGTTGGACGTTTAGCTGTTCTTGGAGTATCATCAGCTTTACTTTTATAGCTTTTACCTTCATCTCTTGAATGTGTACTAAGAGAAGATCTACTTTTAACTGATTTTGATTTATCTACATCTTTTTTAATTTCTTTTTTTCCAGAAAAAGCAGTTTTGAAATCCTTTCCGCTATCTCTGCTGTCCCTTCTTTGAGCTTCTTTGAACACCTTTCCACCTGTTTTGTCATCCCTTTTAGTTTCCTTTATCATTTTTGGAGTTTCTCTACCTTTCTGTAGACTTTTTCTTTCCTCTGATTTTTCTTCTTTTTTTGCCTTTAAAACTCCATATTCTGCATCAGGTAAATAAAAATCTACTTCATTATTAGGAAAAGGAACTATCTCCATGTCATCCAATGCTTCTAAATTGTAAAGAACATCCAAATGAGACCAAATTTTTTCACTAGGTATATCTCTGTTTAGATTTGTTGTTAATTTCTCCCAGATAACTGCCATTTGAAAGTGTTTATTTATTCCTAAAATTTATATATTATACTTTTAACTGAGAGTAGTTAAAAACCAACTAACCAACTGGTTTATGTCCGACCATTGCTTCTAGTAAGTGTATTTCGTTTGATACATTCCATTCGAAATCTTCCATACCTCTCTTGTTGGTTTTCAAAAGCTTGCCAGAGACAGTCTTTTAATGTTAGACATAACACAATGAAAACAGTAATTGTTTTATATTTTCACTTAATAATAAACTCGGCGTTTCCACTTAATTTGATTGAAAAATAGTTAGGTTATATTTACAAATAATGTTCTTCTTCCTTCAAATTAAAGGCCAAGGAGCAATTGTTTCCATTTAGCCACTTATTCTCTGAATTGAAAGCAGTGGCGTTACGTATTGGTGATAAGGAGCGTCAATTCGTTAAAACACATACTGGTCTTAAATATTTCTTTATAACTACAAAGTAACTGATCCAAAATCGATGGTAATTCATAATTTAAAGAAGTGAAACTGTAGGTTCAACAAAATTTCACTCGAAATTTTGAATTGTGAGTCTACAATATAATTCAAAAGAAACTAATTACAGAATCATGAAATGATATTGTACAATAATAATTACGTTCATCAGTAAATACAGAGTCTATATATATANCCATAGTTAGTTCAGCATCGTTTAACAAATTGATACTAATAAGTATATAAAATTTAGAAAAAATTTGTTAAACTAATACTTATTGCATCTTGATCAAAATCAAGGATTGGGCCGTATTTACAGTAAATGTTAAATTAAAAGCTGCACCGTCCAGAACTCTTAAGCAGAAATATTAGTAAAACCTAAATACTGTTTAAATGCTTTTTGTAGATGAAGTTGTTCATAATGAAGTAATCAAGAAGTTAAATTAGGATGTCGTTACACAAATCTATTTTCGTTGGACTAACTCTTGAAATTATACATTTCTTTGTAGCTATTTCTTCCTTTTATGTCGCACGAGGGAAAATGGTGAAAGTATGGAGTATATTTCTTTAACCACGTCTCTGCTTATTTGAAAACTGACCTAAACTAAACGAACTCTCAAAATCTTTTGATCAAAGCCTAACATCCTCAAATTTATTGAACTCATATTGCTTTATTATTTGTATGAATGCCTGAAGGTGTTTATACGAATTTACCTATACCACATCATATTTTTCACGAGATGATATTGCCCTTTTTTGAATGTACGAAACAGAAAATCGCTATGTTCTGGTTACAGTTGGTTACTTAACGTAACGTAAACATCATATTGAAAGATCTTTCAATTAGTTTCATTTGTTAGCTTGCATATATTATTACTATGCCCCACTCCTCTTAGTTTTCAGTTTTTGCTGGTCAACTTTCAAATGAAGATGAGCTAATGCCAAAGAATATACTGTACCAATTTAACGTACACTTATTGGTTTTGATAAATTGCAAACTATTAAACATGTGCTGAAAATTACTGATTTTTGAAGGCTAATTCGTCATTATTATCATTATTATTGTGATTAGGTATACCTTTTCCTTACTTCCCATTTTTGAATGGAGAAGATAAATGGGCTTTCGCCCAGGGTTTTAGTAGATTTTAAGTCTTACAACGTACTTCGTTAGCTATTGGCCTAAGTCTAAAATGTTGTCTGTCGGTCTAGGATGGAATGCTAGGTGAGGAAAACGTCGACGGTCTTTCGTTGGGCCAGGGGTTCAATAACCTGTTGGATGCGGTCATTGCCTACCGGTGTCTTGTCAGTTCTACATTGCTGGGCTCTCCGGCTTTTCTGCCTGACCAACAACTGGGTCTGCAGCCTTGCATGGCATGAACATTCAGCAGCCTCATCGATGGCCGATGTGTATTACGTAAACTTCGTTGTTAATTCGTGCGGCTTTTTCGCAAAAAAAAAACACGGCAATGCTTATAAGGAGCGAAGGCGTCAACCGACCGCAATTCATACCTATCAATGTATACATATTCTATGAATGTGTGTTTTCGTGCAGGATATTACAAAATCCGTGTCAATGCGTCGAGGATCTAAAGTTGCGTACGATAGCGTATCCGTTGATTCCTTTCTTCGCAATCTATTCCAAAACCAAAAAAGCTCTTCATTAATTGTTGCCCAAAATAGCAAAGCACACATGCTAACCGTATCACGATTGTTTTTGCGATATTACATTATTTTGTATGATTTCTCACATTTTCGTTAGAAAGCGTGCAAATCTCATAAATAAAATTACTTCTTATCGTAAATTAGCAATTGCTTTGCTAGGTCATAATTAGAAACAATTAGAACATCTAATAAGAAGGGGAAAAATCCTTAATCCTTAAAAGGTGAATTTGTTACCTGAGACAAACAGAATAAATAGGGATTTTACAAAACAAATAAGGGATTGTTCAAGTATTATGTATGCAGAATTTTAATAATTTTAGATCCCTACCTTATCTTTAAAAGAAACAGTACGGAAATTGTGGATTCCCTTCCCCCAATAGTTCTTGGGCCTTTATCTAAAAGCTATAGAAACATGAATTATACCGCGAACAAAGGAATTTACGGGAAATTTTCGAAAATAATCAAGAATATTCCATGATCAATGATAAGTGACCAATATCCAACAGTATATAGTTGTTAAAAAAATCGATAGAAAAGAATTGACACAAATTATAAATAGTAACTTATTAAAACCTGGTAATTCAGTTGTAATTATGTTTATAATCATGTGTCATGTGTCACAACAATTCACGAACTCAACTTCAAAAACTAAAAATAAAATTTAATGCACTTGAAAACTGTAAACATAAACAGATACAGATAATATTAAGCTACCTTACCAAGGTTTGTTGTAAAATTCATGAAATTGTAGCAGATTTCTTATCTACTATAAAGTTGTTTAGTAAACCTTTAAATATTTTATTAGTAGCGCTTGATATTTATTTCTATTTTTATGAGGAAAGATTCGACTGGTACCTAATCGTAACTTACTTTCCATTTTTTTTTTCTGTTTTTAAGTAACCTTAAGCACTTTTATCTCGTAAAGTAACTTTCAAATTTATTATCGTATAGAGCGTTAAGTTTTATTTTATCCTTTCTCTGTATTATGAGCATTAAATTTCTTCGAATGCGACAAAACGGATACGACTTAAGATGCTGAGATCCTGTCTAGGACGTTGCTGTCACAGACCCTTCCACTTGTTTTCCACTTTTACCTGCTCTGCCTTACGATGGCATCTACTATAAAAATTTTAATACCTTTCCTACATTGGTCACGCATTTAAATACGTGAATCTTTAGGTTTTTGGTAAGTTCGATGACTTTCGAAGGGCCTAATCTTTAGTGGTCTCAGTGGACTGTCACGAAGGTTACTTACGTTTGTATTTGAATACAAATGTACACATGTAAATTATCAATAAATAAAGGTTTTATGCTGATACAGTAAACTTGAAAAACGAATATTCGAAAAAATGTTCATTTATACTGTCACGGTAAGTATAAAATAACTTCAGAGTGTGTAGGTATTATACTAGCCAAGTAGATTGTACGCGGCACATTCAATAATAGAAAAAGTAAAAAAAATCGAAATTTTACCCATAATAGTAGAGTTCTTTGGAATTCGAAAGTATAACTAAAATTATTTCGACTATTTAATTTGTAAAACGACTACCAAGTTATCCATTTGTTTAAGAAAATACGATCTCAGTTTTTAATACGAAGTTTAACTTCATCTCAAGAGGCAAAAACTGTGTCCATTGCAATATTTCATTAGAATCCGGCACTTTAATTGAACTGCTAGCTAATCACTAAATTAATAACATTAAAAACTGTATAAACTGGCAGCTTTGCCGCCCAAACTTTTGAGTCAACTTATAAATTGTAAGTTCAAACAGAGTGGATTTTACTAATAAAAGAAGTAGAAAAAAATATTACTATTTGGGCTCCCAAAATTGACTTATAGATATAACACACAAATTAATTTTATTATGAATAATAAATAATTGCATTTATAATTCTCAGTGTCTTCAATATTCAATCATTATTGGCAATTATACTGCTGTGAATTGTTACAACATTTACAAGGATTTGTTTTTAATCTATATATATAAAAGAAAGTCGTTTTAGTTACACTATTTATAACTCAAGAACGGCTGAACTGATTTGGCTGAAAATTGGTGGAAAACCAGGAAACGGACATAGGATACTTTTTAAAACGTGCTATAAGAAAACGCAGCTAACATGGAATGACAAAACGTAACTGACAGGAAAACGAAATGTTGGCTATGGTTAAGTATGGTGTTTTATTTATAGTCAGATATACCTGAAACTTGGTTTTTATGCTTTTTCATATAAAATTAGTGACATACATATCTACCTATTTCAACATTTTACAAAATTCCACCTCTTTAGGAAGCTGAAAGGGGTTTGCAAAGATTGCAAGTTTGTCTTTGGTCCGATTTACTTGAAACTGGTTAAAAAATTTAATCTTTGTTGGGGGAGATGAGTGGTGAAGAGGAGTTGCAGTGTTTAAATGAAACATATATTATTTGTGGTCAGATTTACTTGAAACTTGGTCTTAATGGTCACTCATTTAATTTCTGAAAGACCTATCTTGACATCTTAAAAAATTCAACCTCCAAAGGAAGGGGGGTAAAAAGGTGTTGCAATTTTCGTTTGGGACATACTTTATTTATAGTTGAATTTACTCGAAACTTGGTATATATGCTGTTTGATATTATTATTCAAATGAAAAGTGGTAGCAACGTTTCCATGGAGTATATTTTATTTGTACTCGGATTTACTCGAAGGTTGCTCATTGTCGAAATAAAGCAAATACGTGTTTTGGCAATTTTTAAAAATCAACCCTTAAGGATGAAATGTTGCTACGTTTGTATTTGAAATCTAAGATGACGACATTACATAAAATTAAAACGTTGTAAGGGTGAATTGGGAGTTAAAAGGTTTTATGAAGAAACAATATTAATTTCTGCGAACGAAGCCAGTTTGTTATAGAAATTCATATTTTTTTCGATGTATTCAATTTAAATAATTATAAATAAACATCTGTATAAAGTAATTGCGGAGATGTGTCGGTAATAAATTCCTTTAGTAAAAAATGATCATAGGATGTTCGCTTCTATGATTAATACTACACGTGTATTCCACACATACATACATACAAATCAAGTAGTTAGGGTTTTCGATGAGGTTAACTACATGATGATGTGAACGTTATTAGTGAGCTTTTATTAAGAGCGAGCTTTTTGTGTTGTGTTACCCGTTCTTTCCGCAAGAGAGATTTCGCCAGCAATGGCCATTAGGCCACGTCGGGTTTCTTCATACTGCTCTCCGTACCCGTACCACTGGCGAAATGGGCGCTTAATTGGCTTCGTTCTGGTGATGAACAGTGCTGGAAAAAAGAATTATAGATCCTTGTAACTTCTAAAAGAGGCTAACGAACTTCATCCTCGAATTTTTCGTAAAACTATATACGCCGGTATATGGGACATAATGGTCGTGCAATTTTCATGATTATGATGACGCAACCAACATAATTTTGAGGCGATATGTCTGAGAACAAATCGCTAACTTGCTAAATTTAATTTTAAGACAAATTGCTTTAATGTGTTCAGCAATTAATCTGCAATACCTAATATACTCCTCTGTATGTATGTATATATATACAAGGTCCGCTCCATAAGTAATGAGCTCTATTTTTTGACGCGAGCTTAGATCGGCGCGCACTCTACCGGCCAGGGAAGGCGGTGCGGGGCTAAGCTTTCAGACATTTGTTTGGCTCTGAGCACCCAGAGCGGAAGAAAGTGTTTTTGTAATCGTGTCACAGCGAGATGGAGAGTTCGACAAAACAACGTTATACGATTAAGTTCTGCTTCCGGTTGGACACATTTTCTACGGAAACGTTAATTATCAATATGTTTTGGGAGATTCGTGTTTGTCCAAATACAAGACAAAGATAATGTTCATCGTCCTTTTTGGAGCAAAGGAGATCATTCTCTACGAATTTGTCCCGTCTGGAGAGTCCGTGAATGATGCCTACTATCTGGATGTTCTGGAAAAGCTAAAAAGAGCGGTACCGCACAAGCAAAGTTAGATCAAAGACAGTCGGAAGCTTCATCACGACAACGCGCCTTTTGCCACACCGCTTTCGTTGCGAACGATTACCTGGTCGGCCTTGATCAACATTCCGGTGATCCCGCCAGCCTCCGTATAGTCCGGATTTGTCCTCTGCGGACTTTTTTCTCTTACCCTGCGTGAAAGCAGCCCTGAAAGGTCTTAGTTACTCCATCGAGAACATCCAACACAATGTCACGGCAGACCTTATTACGGACATTCCGTAACTGACCTACGCTGACGCTTTCGCGGCATGAAAAAGTCGCCTAAAAAAATGTATCGAGGCAAAAGGTGCGTATTTTGAGGAATATTGATCAGTTGTACCAATTTGCTTAATAAATCTGTCATGCTACTCATATGAAGTAACAAACAGAACCAATAAAAACTAATAAAAATAAAATAAAAACAAGAAAAAATAGAAACAAGCAAAAACTTACCCCAAATTAACCACAACTGTTTTAAAAAACGTAGGCTCACGGGAGTAAAAGTGAGTTTAAAATTATTGTGGTGAATTTGGAATACGTAATTCTTTTCTTGTTTTTATTATTTCTATCACCACACTATCTTCTTCTTTTCAAAATAATCTAATCTATAGCTATATTACATTAGCAAAGAATGTGTTGGCAACCTAGCTATGTCGAAGACAAATGTAGAAAGCCTAGGTAGATTTTTTGTACGTATTGTACATAGTTTGTAAACCAACATTTCTTTTCTGCGTATCATGCAAAAAGAAAAACTAAAACAACCTGACCACTTTACAGAATTCGACTGGCAGAGAAGATGATACCTTTGGCGAAATTAGCAATTCCATTGAGACACGAGCAAGGTTGTTTTGTGCGTATAAACACGGAGAAAACGAATATTCCCACATTTTTTCCCATGTAATACGTATAATAGAAATACATAGGCTGAAAAACTAAAGTAATAAGTAAATAAAGGGATCTTTATTGGTTTCTGCAACTGTAGGTTGAAAAATTTACATATATCACGTCAAGTTTTTCAAAACAAGTTTCGTTAATTAGCTAATATTAATTAAAAATATTGAAATAAAATTCTTTACTCATTAAATTACACCATAGTAATGTCATTATGTACCTTATCATTTTGTAACAAGTTTATACTTGAAGGTAATTTATCATGTAATGAGCATTCACATCTTCTTAAAAGAAATATCCTTGATTTATAATAATATTAAATTTTGACTTCTAATTTTCACTCTTTAATCAAAATTAGCTTCCATTTTTGTCTTTTTCGTTACGGACACCCTTGTTTCTGTTTAAAGCAATTGTCAAATTATACAATTATCATCAACGTAAGGTCGTCAGAAGAAGAAAGATTGGTGGGACACGCACCTCCATTCTTTACTATCCTGAGCTAATCTTTGCATTTCCCCAAAACTAGTCCTTTTAACTCTTGTTTTTACTTCTAATACGTCTCTGACTAGCCCTACATGCCTGAGAAGGTGTCAACCTACTTCGCCTACATCTTATTGACTTCCATAGAGTCCTCTGTTCACCTATTCTTTCTAATACCTCTTCATTTCTATCCTTCTTTCTCCACGGCAACCTAATCGCCGGTAACAGCACATTTCGAACGCACAATCGTTTCGCACTCGTACAGCGTCACACTCCAGACATTCATCTTTAACAATCCTTTTCGAATTTCTAAATTAACCGTTCGCGAGCATAGAAGTGACTTCTTTTTATTGAAGGCGACTCGACCCTGCACTATCCCGTGTTATCTATATCTACTGATCTTTCCATCCTGACTTATCTGACTTCCTAAGTATCGAAAATCAGCCACTTCAAATTTTTCGTCTCCTGTCTTTATATTCGCTCTTTCGTTACTTTTTCTTCCCTTGCATAATAGTATTTTTGGTTTACTTTTATTTATTTTCATACAACACTTTTTTGTCAATACCGCTTCCATTTTATTTAAAGCTATCTCTAACTCTTCCTTGCTAGATCCTTATATTCCCCAAATAGTGCTTTTGCCTTTTTTTCGTCTTTCTCTGTATGCTTCTAGTAAAGATTTTGCATGAGAAGTTAGACTAATTGTTCTAAATGTCTCGCACCTATCCGCGTCACTCTTTCTAAGTATAGTTACTATCACGTTCCGTTTATAATCCTCTGGGACTTTCCCCGTCTCGTAAATGTGACTAACTAGCTTAAAAATACGATCTCTAACATCTTGTCCTGCAGGTTTTAGTATTTCCCCCTGTATCTCACCTACACCTGGCACCTTATAAGTTTTTTATTGCTACATCGAACTATTCTCTCATTATGGGATTACCTAGCTCATCTATCTCTACACTATCTTCCTTCTCTAATATATCTCCTAACTAATGACCTTCGTGTAGGTTCTCTAAATATTTCCACCTATCTGCCTTCTCCTATTATCAAAATGACCCCTGCCTCGTTACTTATATTATTACTAGTGCACCCTACTTCTCTAGAATACTTTTTAATTATATTATATGCCTCATTCGTTTTACCTACTTCAAACTTTTCGTCTAGTTTTTTACACTTTATATCAATCCACTATTCATTAGCTGCCCTACATTTTCTAATTTTTTCTCACTATATATCCTTTTATAGTGTTTGTCCTTCTTCGTCTGTCCTATTTTTATATTTCTACCTTTCTTCTATTAGTCCTACAATCCTATTTCTTATCCAGGGTTTTCTACTTTCGTTTCGTTTAAGACCTAATTTATCTCTAGCTGCTGACTTTAGGAACATTTTAATGCAGTTCCATTCTGTCTCTACGTCCCTGTCATTCGTTTCTTTTTAATTTAATACTAATGCGTAGAAAAAATGAATATATTTTTTGTCAATGTATTATTTAAATTTTAAGTAAAACTTATCTTTGTAGAACCGTAAAGATAATTGAATCGGTAGTGATGTTTACACATTGATTTGCAACTTTTGCAATTAATTAAAACATACATGAAATTTCAACTTAGAAAATAGCAATATTAATCGTAGGAAAACCTTTATAAACCATTAATAAATGTATGCATACATACGACTATATCTAAAACCTGTAAACGGATTTCTCCCATGACTTAAACGACAAACTGCTTGAGGTAAAGGTAGTCATCCAAATAAGAAAGTGGTTGAAATTTAATATTCAACTGTTGAGGATAGATAGAATTAACTTTTGGTAAGATAATCCCTTAGTAGTTGCGCACAACCCTTTAAGTAGTCATATTGGATATACGAGAACTTTGAGCCACAGTAACGATGTGATGGTAACTTTTTACCCTCCACTACGAATATACTTTGCTTGTTGTGCTCACTGTTTCAAAAAATTTAATAAAAAAGGATTTTGCCTGTAGCAAATTTTGTAACTTCTTCTAAATACAAAATGCAAATACTTTTTTGATTTAAGCCACAATATTTTAAGACTTCTATTTTTATCTTGTTTATAAACGAAATTCTAATGATTCAGTTTCGGAGAAAATTTTCGTGATCGATGTAAATGTCGACTAAAATTAAGCAGGTTGATCAACTGCGCAGGAAACCGTAGCGTGCGATATTTGGTAAGACAATTATCTCTTTATTAGGTGGATACTCACGAACCTATCAAAGCATTACCTTGAAGCTTTAGCAGAAGAAGAATCGATTGGTGAAGAAGTGCATAACGGAATAATAAGGACTCGGTCAAGCAGAACCAGTGTTGTCAGATCGGAAAAATTTACAAATGTACCTCATATTTTATTCTATTGTACAATATAGATACGTATCATCATAAGGTCGTCAGTCCTAAGACTGGTTGGACACGCACTTACACTCATTCCTGTCCTGAGCCAATCTTCGCATTTCCCCAAAACTTGAACAACCTACATCCTTAACTATTTCCGAACAATAATTTAATATAGATCTACCTCTACTCCTCTTAATTCCTGTTTCTGCCTCTAATATGTCTCTGACTAGACCTTCATGCCTGAGAAGGTATCCTACCAACCTATCTCGCCTATCTTTTATTGACTTCCATAGAGTCCCCTGTTCTCCTATTCTTTCTAATACCTTTTCATTTCGTTTTCTATCTACGGTATCCTCATCACTCGCCTGTAACACCACATTTCGAACGCTTTCTTTTCCGCAGGGCCCACAGTCCATGTTTCGTACCCGTACAGCGTCGCACTCCAAACGTACACCTTTAACAATTAACCGTTCGCCAGCATAGAAATGACTTCTTTTTATAAAAGGCGACACGACCCTGCGCTATCCTCTGCTTTATATCCCTACTACTCCTTCCGCCCTGACTTATCTGACT